TCTCAGATTGCTTTCCACTGCTACATCCTCATCTTAGTCTCTCCTTTGTCAACCCACAGAGCTTTTTATATGTGACAGATGCCCCCTGTGTCCACGATCATCTTGCTCCCACATGTGTCTTATTTAATTCTAGGCTTTTCATTTCTCTCCAAACCCATTCCTTCTTTCAGACTTTCTAAGGATCGCAGGGTTTTGCATCTTAAAATAAATCCAAGTTTGTCCTTCATAGCAACAACTGTCTTTGATTTTAAAGGAGTTTTAAAAAAGTACCTTCTCAGCCAAATTCTTCAAACTGCTCCCTATCTGCTCTCTCCAATATTCAATACCCCCCATCTTTAACACTCTAGAGCAGTGGTTCTCCACCTTCCTAAGGCTGCGACCCTTTAATAGCATAGGGTCACCGTAACTGTGACTGAGGAACTGTATTAAAGGGTCACAACCTTAGGAAGGTGGGGAACCACTGCAAGGGTGGCATCCTTAGCTACCACTCTATCAAAATTGAATCATGCAAGAAGAGTGTGCTGGATAAATGTCCGGACCTCTCAGATCTCAGCTTGGTGCATTCGTAGCCGTATCTGTCTCTGCAAACCATTATTCCTAGCAGCTCCTTCCTCTCTGACCTCTCAGAGCCTCTTGCTGTTTTTATCTATGTTCTTGGGCATATCTTTTCTTAACTCTCTTTCCTATTGGAAAATTAATGGCTTCAACTATCAACTATTTTTTTTTTTTCTTCTGAGATATAATATGTCTCTGTTGCCCTGGCTACAGTGCCAAGCCATCATCCTAGCTCACAGCAACCTCAAACTCCTGGGTTCAAGTGATCCACCTGCCTCAGCCTCCTGAGTAGTGGGGACTACAGGTACCCAACACAACACTGGGCTTTTTTTTTTTTTGTCTATTAAGTAGAGATGGGTATCACTCTTGCTGAGATTGATCTGAAATTCAAGAGATCCTCCATCCCAGAGGGCTAGGATTAGAGGTGTGCGCTACCATGCCCAGCCTAACTTTGTGTGTTAATCATGTGGATTACCTTGAAATACTTGTCTCAAGGATTTGTATTGCTCCAAAATTATTATAGGCTGTATATTTTTAATACTGCAGTGTGTCATTAGTGCTTCAATATTTTATAAATTGAGGTCACCATCATCTTCTTTCTAAGGATCAGTCCTATTCCTCAGCTTCTTATACATAATGATATGTGTATAACCACAACCAGCATCACTCAGACTTGAAACTCTGGTGTCAGCACCATCTTTAATTTATAATTCTCCATTACTACTCCACCTCATCAAATGTCAAATCCCATTAATCCACACCACCTCACCATTCCCCCTGTTACTGGCTAGCTCCTACATGTCCCCTGGACCAATAGCCTCGCAGAAAGCCTCCACCCTGTATTCGCTCCTTTTACCCAAACATCTATCATACTAATTCTTCTAGAAGATTCAGATTAAAACTCCTGTGTTTTGTCCTTGGTCTCTGTATGGAGTTGTTCTTATTAGTCTGTTATCTACCCTTCCAGTGCTTTTTCATGCAACTTTAAGACAATTATTTATCTGAGCCTTCTGGAGTTTGCACAGGATATTGTATTTTGAGAGAATTGTTTTTCCATTAAGTTTTTTTATTGTTTACAGTTGATATCAAAGCAAACTGTTAATTTCTGAACATCTGTCAATATTTTGAATACATTCATATGTTGAATTACTAATAATTTTTCAGTATCCTGGTTTTTTAAAAATGTAGTCATGTTTACGATTTACACTGATAATTTTCTTCTCTACTTCCAAATAGTATATTATTCTAATTCTTATTTTATTACCTCGAAATGAGCCACCATTTCTGTTTATGATGGATTCATAACTTTAAAAAGCCTCCTGTGTTGGGCAATGCCTGTGACTCAAAGGGGTAGGGCGCTGACCCCATATATCGGAGGTGACAGGTTCAAATCCAGCCCCAGCAAAAAACAAAAACAAAAACAAAAAACAAAACCTCCTGTGCTCCTGTGGTTTTGACACATTTGCTCAAGTTCAAGCACTTTACTGCTCCTGAAATAGGTAAATAATAATAACTAAGTGGAAAAAAAGATAGTCATTATAAAAATAGTATCTACCTGAAAAAATGAATAAGATTGTTTATAAGACAGCATGCCCTTGCTTTATAAAGACACTTCACAAAGGCACCTTGTCACTGTGAACCAAGATCAAAATGTAGACCATGAACTCCCAAAGGCTATTTACAGAATCATCATGTGATTTAAATCCCCCAAACACTTGTATTTTAAGGTCTTGACTATAGACAAATTCCATGCACTTCATAAACACAATATAAACTTGACCAGAATCGAATAAAAATTTGTTAGTGAGTCCAAAAGAATCTTGTAATAGAGTTTGTAACTTTTCACTCAATAAGCACATTTCTAAAAAAAAAGAAACCCTGTGTTCAAACACATTCCAAATGAAGGCTCAGAGCTTTCCACTGCCCAGAGCCTCCATGATCAGCTCCCACCGACCTTTCAACTTCACTTTCCAGTTCTATCTCAGGCATTGAACACCAGCCAATTTCTGGATGACAGTGTCTTGTAGTTGGACTCCTGCTGCCTGTGCTCATGATGGTCTGTTAATTCTGAAAGCCCCTTTCTCATCTCTGCACAGGCAGGGCCCACGTTACAAATGAGATGGGTTCTATAGGTTTGTTCTTAAGTTGAAACTTAGAACGGTACATTTGCCTATTGCCTGGAATAGCCCCCATGTGTAAGAGAGAGTTGAACATCAGTCAGACGTTTGCAACTAGGGGATTCACTCTAGGAGCCCTGTTTGTAAGTGTGAATTGCACGTAAGTCTGGTGTTTGTAACTTGAGGACTGCCTGTCTTCCAGGCCTAGCTCAGGGGATACTTCTACACGAAGGTTTCCAGGACTAATGTATCATTCATAAAATGATTACCTATGCCAACTAAATGTGTTAACTATTTAATTTCGCACTCACAGTATCCCCTCGTTTAGATGAGAAAACAGGCTTACAGAGGACTAGTAACTTGCCACAGTCTCACGGACAGTAAATGGTAGGCAAATCGGGGGTTCCTGTTAAAATTTTCTGACTCTAGTTAACCGCCTTAATCTTCTGTCCTCCTTATGCCCTCTATAATACCTCCGTAATACCTCAAAATTGGTGTGTTTATCTCTTAAATTGTTTCTTTTTTCCCTTTAATTTCAATCTATTTAAGGGGATACAGTGAAGCTTTGTTCCATGGGTATGTTGGACAGTGGAGTGGTCTGGGCTCTGGGTATGTCCACGACCAGAGTAATACACAATGACTTTCTTACTGTGTGCCTTGTTTCATACTTTTAATTTGCATGTCAAATTTGCTAGCCACTTGGTGGAAGAGCTGTGGAGCATTCATGCTGCCTTTATTTAGTAAGTAGTTAGATAATAAATGCTTGTGCCTGGATGGGTGAACATACTGCTTCCTTATTAAGAAAACTCACCGTGCCCTTTCTACTACCTAAGTCCTCACATCTAATATCTTCTGACTGAACCTAAAGGTCTTCAGCAATCTGCGGCTTTAAAATTAGACGCAGATGTCCTTTTTAGGGCACTATTTTTCACGATGTCCCAACATGAACCTATTGTTGCAATTAGGGTCAACTTGCACAGTCTCTCAAACGTAATGCTCATTGCCACTTCTGCCCTCTGCTGCCAACGTTTCTTTTTCAGAAATGTCACCCACTCTTTCCAAATTGTACTCTATTCTTCTTTCAAGGTTTGGCTCAAAAAATTACTTACAAATGTCTTCTATAAGTGAAGTAGTGTCACAACAATTAAAATTTGGATGAGAATAATATTATGGTTTGCCCACGTTATTTGGGGTCTGTGTCAAATCTCTCCAGATTCTAGAGTTCTGCAGAGAATCATGTCATACGTTGCTAAGCACACAAAATTCTTCTTACTTTCTGCATATTAGATACTTTAAAAGAATGGTAGTAGGTATTGTGAACTAAGGTTTTTCTCATGTACAGTAAACTACAGCAGTTATGTTATTATAACGAGTGAACAACTGGCTAAAAAATTGGGCAGTTTTTCAAAATTATTTTTTTTGGTCTACTTTGTATGCTTGTCACCCAAAGCAGTTCCTGCTTTTTCCACCCAAGAACATCCAAAACCATTTCTTTAGTTACAATTTAGAATTGGCCTATAAAACAATAATAGGGTAAGCTGAGCAGTTAAGAGGGGCTTTCTTAATAAATGGATATGGAGATAAAGATTTTTCTTAGCACTTATGTCCCTAGATGGTAAAAGCATTCCATGTTACATCTCATGCGACCTTGTAATATCCACATGAGGACACAGAAATTACAGCTGAAAACAAAACACGCACACAATTCAATACCTTATCAGGAGAATTTCATTTTTCACAGCGGTAGTTGTTGGCTCAAATAGGCTAAAATGCTCACTAATAAAATAATTATACTTGATTGTACATTATCATTTTTACACATTGCATTGAACTCTCAATCTGTACAAAAAAATAGGATTACATTTTAAAACATGAGCTATGGAGCAGACAGAGCGGCATCTGGCCCTCTTATTTCTATGGTTTATTAACTATGGCTCTACCCCTCTCTGTATTCCCATTCCCACTGCCCTAAACCAGAAATGGACAACCCACAAGGTTGGGCTAGGCACAAACTATCCTATTCTTCTTACTTTCCCTAATAACATCTAATAACATCTCCTAATGACATCTCCTCAAGGCAGAGAAAGTACTATCATTTCTTAAAGCATATTCCTTTTAATTTTACCTGTGCCTCCCCCCCTAAATCCTAGCCAGTCAACCAAGTATGTATTCAATTGAACAAAGTAAGGTTCAAAACACTTCTGATAGGAACATTTGACTAAGCTAAAACTGATCAGATGTGCCTTTGATAAACCCAGAATTTCCTAAAGAATAATGTTGGATTTACTGGCAGGTAGAGGAATAAGAAAAAAATCTCAGGCCACGTACATTTCTGTGATGGTCTCTGGCAGATTTGTGGGGATTTCCGTGAGACCCTTCCCACGACAGTCTACGATATTGTTGCTACAGGTGCACGCGGCGGGGCAGTGCAAGACGCTGCAAGAAGGAGCGACAAAGGACTGGTGACCTAGAAAGAGAAACACACAGAATGATCCTTCCCTCCCGCACTGCAGAACCGTGAAACATGCAGACGAAGCTCAAGTAACAGAGCAGGAGACGGAGATACGGTTCTCTCACTACCTGATCACAAAAGGGCCTTCTATTTCTACAAGGTATTTTAGGAGGCATGCACTTATATTCTCAGGCCAATAAAGCGAATGAGATAAAGCAAATGAGATTTAAAAAAAAAAAAGGTCATAAAAGTGGTAATTTTTAAAACCTGGAAAAAAAATTGAGAAAGACTAAATTCAGTTTTAAAATCAGAATTCTATCCAAAATTATTCTGATTTCCCTAAAAGGGGTAGCAATTTCAGACTAATATAAATATTCATTTTCAATAAGCTCAAATAGAGTTAGTTGGCTTAATTTACTTTGTCTACAAAGAAGAAAGGAAAATATTAAGACTGCCACCTTGATAGAGGATAACAGTTGGTCAAATTAAGGAATCATGTACCAACAAATACAGAGGAAAATCAGATAATCCTAAATTTGGCATTTGGATGGATTCAAAATTACCACTTTTTTGAAGTTAGTATAATACTTTGTGTCATACCATTCTGAAATTGTTAATCTACATGATTCTTTTTTTGGGTTTCACAGAATGAAATTTTAGCATAGATAGTTACTTTCAGGTATGTGATTTTTTACTACTCAGTATTTGAAAACAAAACTATTTTGTAATGAGACTTTATGGCTTGAAAGATGAACAACAGAATGTCAGCAGTGCCCTACCAGATAGGTGTCTGCAAATGCAGGTTCCTGCCCCCTCCCCCTGCCAGGAAAGGCCCTAGGGGGGACTATAGGTCAGGAAGAGCCTGCTACTTAGCTGCTAACCCTGGCCCTTTAAATAAGCTCTCAAACTTCGCAAAAATATCCTCAGTCTAAAAAAGAAACGTGAACTTGCCTTCTTCCTCATCTAGAAAACAGGAAAGAAAAAGTGAAGAGAGAAAAAAGTGGTTAGTAACGAACTGTTAGTCATTTCATTATTTAATTTCTTAAAAAGCAATCAGACATACTGAGACCATCCCATGACATTGTAAGAGAATTTTGTTTGGGTTATAATATGTGTGGAAAAACACAGAAAACTGTCTAAAAGATAATAATAAAACAG